ATTACTTAACCTGAAGGAAACTTTTAACCATTCCCTTTTCATCTCTTGCCAATAAGAAGTCAAACTTTTTGTTTTACACCTTAATGGCATGCCCGCATTTTAAATTTTTATACAAGCTCCTACAGAAACTTTAACTAGACCAATTCAGACCAAAAGTCACTAAAAAAAGCTAGTCTAGACGGAAATTCTATGAAAACCATATGTCTTTTAGGCATCTGTCTTACAAAAGCTGCCATCATCCTGGAGAAATTGTTCACAAAATATGGTTGGAGGGAAATGCTGCTGGGAGAACCATCGTGGCTGTGTTTAAGACGACGGCTGGACTTGGAGAAAGCAAAGCCAAGATATTTATAAAGGACGGGCTCTCCTTCCCTCGTCTGTCGGTAAACATAACTGAAAGGATGGGCCGAAGCAGCTATCATTTATATTTCCTTATCCTAGAAGGGATTAAGAAGCTTATGCTCCTGTAGAATGTTAGTTAGACCAAGGGATCCCAAAGCAACTCTGAGAACTGTTTTAAATAATGCTGTACGTGGATGAGGCTGAAGAACCAGAACATTTTCTTCTGATTATTACCTCATTCTGCTGGCCTGCCAAACACAGCCAGAAGGCAGGTGTCCGACATCAGGAACCAGAGGGAGGCTGTTCTATATAGTTGGGTGTAGGGCCCAGCTGACAAGGGAGATCAGAGTAACTGGGGGTACAATGGGAGTGCAGGAAAGGGGAAAATTCTGAGAGCTTGTTTTTCTAATTCAGCATTGCTTTCTCTAGTGTGGACGATGGTTCTTACTCCTGCTACTTATTTTTACATCTCAAAATGCATCTTTATTTCAATGAGTGGTATGAAATGCATAGGAAACAAACAAACAAACAAACAGCAAACGTTAATGACAAAAATGACATTTTAACTGAAAACTGTGAACAGGTGATGGGGACTTTGAACGTGTTTATAAATTACAAAGATTCCTTGCGGTGACCCTTTAGAATATTTTACTGAAACTTCTTGCTCTGCAGGGAAGGGAAATTTAGAACAAGACAGTAGTCATTGGCAACACTGGTCATTGGCACGAGTGCCCCATGCATTGTCTAGTCGGCTAGAAGACCGTGTGCAAACAAGACGCGTCAACTAGCCACATGTGGAGAAGAGGTCCTGTCAGCCGGAGGAGGCGGGTATAGAAAAAAACGGCGATCCCTAAGATGTCATCAGTCGCAAAGCAGTTTTAAGCAAAAGTCAGAAACATGATTTCAATGTATTTATTCAAAGATATTGTGCTTTAAAATGACTTTTCAATATTCTTGTTCACTTTTAAGGTATTAAATTTAAGATGGCCATAGAGTAATTTAGAGCACTTGAAATATTAACACTAATCAAGCACTTATACCAACGGCCTTCATTACAGGCTCCTAAACTGAGTTATAGCGCATACAGGTAGGTAAATCAGCATCTACTGATGAGGCACGAGAATTTGGAGAGATAGGGGTGTGTGGGGGGTCTGTTAATGTCGGTCCTGAGTGCTGCTACTATTAGAGCTAAAGCTATACCTCTGCTCTCGTGCACATGCTATGCCGTGCATGGATTTTATTTTGATTTTAGGCCTAGGTATGTGGAGGGAAATTACTGCAGTAGTTTGTCTAGTGAACACATTTACTAATAGTTCTTTAATTTCCCACCCCAAAAGGCAGCAAATTAAGGTAGCATTTGACTCACAAGTTTTACTATTGCAGTTATAAAAATATTTTCTAACATGACGAGAAGCAAAGAGAAATTCTAGGTACTTTAAAAATGAGTAGAGATTTTCCTCAGTTTTTATGGCTATTCCTCAGTGACTGGTGTTTTATTGTTTGCACCCCAAGCCTAAGTATCTATTGAGACCCTTATGCCTGGTACTTCAGGGGAGATTTACTCGAACAACTTTGTTCTCTTTTAAAATTGACCTTGAGAGGGACCAGCAGTTTGTGTAATGGCTATGTCACTGGACTCCCATGCAGTAGACTGCAATTTGAGTCCTGGGTATGGTGGCTTAAACTCACGCCGGGTGCGTGTGTGTGCGTGCCCAAGATCCCGAGAGGAGAATGGAGGAGAAGGGACTGCGGCCCAGGGGTGATCTCTCCTTTTCTGTCTCTCTGTCTTTCTGGCAGGCAAACATGCCTTATAGCCAAGAAAAAAAAAAATTGACCTTGTGAATAACACTAATAGAAACTTTAAGAAAAACATTTTACAGGATGTATCTTACATAAAGATCTATTCCCAAATGGAATAATTTCATCATGGTTTTTCTTTTCTTTTTTTTTTTTTAAACTTCAAAATGCTTCTAAAAGTTCATCTCATCTCATGGTCTCATAAGAGGTCTCATTCTAGGTGAGCCAAACTCTAATCTTTGGAGAGAAGTAAAATATGGCAAGTGTTATTTAAGTATACAGCCCCCAAGTAAGTGTAGATAATGTTGCCTCATGAAAATCTGGGGCCAGATACAGGTAACATTTATATGGCGGAGGCAACTGGTATATTTGATGATAGGAGAAGACCATTTCTGTATTCATATTCACAGCCATGTGAGGACTTTATACCCTGTCCTACCTCCTCTTAGTCTTTAAAATGACCATGGAAACTTAGGGGTCCTCCTGTGGTCTGGTATCCAGTGTGTAGTTAGCCAGGTTTCGGCCTTATTCTCTTCTAATTAGTGGAGTAGCCTTTCCATTAAAAAAGCAAGGAAGGGGGACCATCAGATGGTTTAATGGTTACGTCGCTCGACTCCCACATAGCCAACTGTGGTTGAAGTCCTGGACCCAGAGGCTTAAAACTCACGCTGGGTGCTTGTGCGTTCGTGCCCAAGATCCCAAGAGGAGAATGGAGAAGAAGGGATTGTGGTGTGGTCATCTCCCTTAGGGGGTGATTTCTTGCTTTCTGTCTCTCTCTCTAACTAGCACACACTTCCTTTAACAAAAATCTATTTAAAAAAAAAAAACAAGCAAAGAGTTTATTTCTAAATTTCTTATTAACCTGCATGTTTACTGAATTCCTACAGGAGTAGTAAGAAGAATATTTACTCCTATTTTCTAATGCTTAATTTCCAATGGGGAAAGATTTGGAATTCTCTCTGTCTCTGAGCAAAGTTAGGAAGGCTCTGTCTTGTCATGGGTTATAAGTTGTTATTACTTGTCACTTTGACTAAATGCTTTTTCTGATCTTTGAATGGAATGCACTCTGAAACTCAGGTGAGCTGATAATTTTGACTGAAAAACTGGAGTGGACATTTCCTAGTGCTTATGGGAATTGTTAAAAAAAAGAAAAAGAACACTATTCAAGAAATTAGACCAATTGCTATCTGTGATTTTTGCCCATCATGTGGCTCTGGTGCTTGAAAAACAGCCAGAAGGAAAAGAAGATACCACACCATGTTCGCCTGCCTAAATACCTTGTGGTTTTAGACTTTGCCCTGCAGAGGAATTCTGGTTTTGGTCAGAGCTGCCATGTGATCTCAGCTTTGTCTAAACCCTTCAATGGCCTCAATGTACATGCAGACCCTCTCAAGCCCAATGCCTTTCCAATACCACCCTCCCGCCTGTACTTTAAATACTAGTCAGACCAAAAATGCCGTATTTTTTTTTTGTTTTTTGAGAATTTTTTGCTATAGGGTGCATGTGCTTGCTAGAAAGACAGAGAGAGACAGAGAGACAGAAAGCGAGAAATCACCCCCTAGAGGGGGACGACTACGCCGCAATCCCTTCTCTTCCATTCTCCTCTCAGGATCTTGGGCACGCACACACACGCACCCTGTGTGAGTTTAAGTCACTGGGTCTGGGACTCGAACTGCTGTTGACTACATGGGGGTCCAGCAACATAGCCATTATGCCAATTTCTGGTCCCAAAAATGTGATATTCTTGTGGCAACAGCATTTGGTAAAGCTGATGAACAACTTCATTTGGCAACTAAAGGGTGTAAATACGTGTTTAGATTCAGAAGTTCCTCCAGACAACACTTACACTGGTATACAGTGAGCCAAAGGCTGTCAGTGTCAGGCATTTACAAATTCTTTGTAAAAGCAGCAATAGTTATTACAGCAGGCAAGAGCCATCGAACCCTAGCGAAATCCTCAACTCCTTTCTTATACTGCTGGAGCTAGGCATTTAAGGCACCTTCCAAGTGAAAGATGCCACATTTACATTTCATTTTAAATTTCCTGACTGTTCCTGGCTAAAGCAACTCCAGTGAGCATTAATTAAATTTTGCTTCCAAGTCATTCATAGTCGCTGATAAGTCAGAGGGAAGGAAAATCACCCAGCAGCTCCTTCTTATAGTTTGCTGCTTGGATAAAATTTAGAGGCAAAAGAGCCATGAATCATGTTGTGGCATGAATCTCCCAAGTCATTGAAAAACAGACCATCTAACCAGAACTGTCAGAATGTGAAGGGTTCTCTGTAAAAATCATCTTTTTCTCCTTACAGTGATGGAAACAAAAGAGCACAGTGATGAAGTAGAAGTACTAGCGTGTGTGCGTGTGTGTGTGTGTGTCTACGCGTCTGTGTGTCTGCTTACACTGGGTAGATTTTTTTTCTTTCTTTGAGCTGACATCAACTTGTGTATAGGAACATTCAGCAGATTCCAACTGGTGACAATTTGCTGCTGACTGGCCGCAGGAAGAATAATCATCATTTACTGTGCATTTTTCACTGCCCAGTGGCTCCTTTACCAGACGCTGTCTTGGCAGTCTTCCTCTCTCCATCAGGTGAAACCCAGGGCAGGGTACCCTGAAATGCAGAAAGGCTTTCCCTGCCGTGGTGGGAGTTTAGCTATTTAGAGCCCCAAAGACGACAACGGCAGAACTCTTTGCTATTGGCCATGGGACGCAGAAGCAGTTGCGCTCGGTTTACGAGAATGCCAGTTACCACTGGCTCACGGCGGGGGCTGCACTTACTGCCGCCTGTCTACACTTATGTTACTTGACTTTGCCTCGTGTAGCTCCTTTCTCATTTTCCTTTTCCTTTTCCCCTCCTACAGCACCAAATGTCTGGAAATGGAAGATAAGGGGCACATGAGAACAGAAAGGCCATCTCAAGTCTACCTTGCACATCAGCAAAGCTCCCTGGAGCTGACCTTCAGAACACTTGCACTTTGTTTCTGGGCCTTGCCTAAACAGACTGCCAGTCATTGGAACTGTGGCAGGATGGAGATGTTTGTGTAAAGTACGCTCGAGTTTGCTAGGCCCAAGAAGGAAACCACCGCACTAATTTGACTCTCACTTAAACCAGATTGAAACCAAGACCTGAAGAATGAAAATATTTGACATTAACCATAGATTCATTTCAGTGAAACGTTACAACTGGAATCATTTTAGAGATGGATTGAGGCTTTTTGAAGAAGCTTAAATGAAATTGGACATTTTCTCTAGTGTACAACGTGTGCCCAAGTTCTCTTTCCATCAAAGTATATTAAGCATCATGGCAACTTCTGTTAAGCCAGCGACACATTATTAATTACATTTGGAGGTTTCAGTAACAAATATTGTAACATCATTGCCCTATGAGATACCTTAAATATCAAAAATAGCTATCCTTAACAATTGTTTCTATCCTTCGCAACTTTGCTTTTAAAAAAAATCTTTGCTTGACTTTCAAATCCAGTTGCTAAAAATAAAAACGGTTCCCCCACAAAATCAGAATACCCAATTATAAATGTATTCGCTCTTTACAGGGGAAGGATGGTGAGGAAGCTGGAAAGCTCACGGCTGACGTCAGATATCACAATACGAGTTCATCATTTGTCCAAAAGACACTCAGCTGCTAAAGGAAGCCACACTTCTAAAGGGCTGTTGGAAAGAGAGTAAGTCAGGATGTTTCCAGTGCATGACTGCAGGGGAGTCAGAGACAGGCTAATTACACGAGTGGCTTAATTGTCCATTCACCCTTAGCCCACGACTTCAAGACTCAGCAGCTTCATCCTTCATGGCACCAAACCTTAATGTGAGGGATGCAAAGACATAAGAATCATGGGTTTGTCCTTACTCAAAAGTTGGGGAACTGTTTGAAAAAAAAAAAAAAAAGAAACAAGAAGCCCTTATTCCTAAGTGAAAGGGATTCAGTACTGTCAGTTAAATCAAAATATGTAAAAGACATATAGCTCTGAAGAGTATCAAGGTTTAACATCTAAAACAAAGTTAAGCTAAATTGTAAAGAGAACTAACTGGCTTTAGTCTTCATAAAGGAAAGAACGAGTGTGTTGTCTCTTGCCCTAGAGGGGATTTATAAATCTTCTGGCATGCTTGATTTAGTAATAAGTTACTGGAAATGCATGACTATAATGGGACTCTTAATAAGGTGGCATGTTATAGTTACTGCTGCCAGTCTCCATTTATCAAATGGGCATCAGCCAAACACTCTGTGATAATTTTGATGCTCCGCTAGGGCTATCCATGCAGAGCAGGGACACCAGCTTCACCATGGGGCTCACCAGAGACCTTTTAGCTGAGCTTTTCTTGGTTTCCATGTTGTATTTCTGTCATGTAGATGAGCTGGAGTTAAAGCCAAATCCTTTGGAATGACTCAGTTTACAATTTTTAAAGACACCATCAGATTTGGTAAGTGAGGTTAAAAGAAAATATCTTCTATATCATCTAATCTGTCAGTTTCTGCCATAGAGTGTGGACAATTGGTATGTATTAAGTGGAGACATACAATGTCTTTCATAGCCTGGCTTGCTTCACTCAGCAGTAAATCTTCCATATTCGTCCTCTTGTCTGTTGATGATAATGTGTATGGTATCTTCAACTGGACGGGTGGAAAGTATGTTCATGTTGGGTGAATTCATTTTACAAGCTCTGGTGATGTACAGTGATTGAATATATAACATAATAATAGAAAAAAAAGAAAATACCTTCTGTTTCTCAACTCTTTTCTTTTAATGGAAGACTGAGTGATGAGGTAAATGACATTTATTCTTCCTTGGATAGAGACCCTTCCTCCCACTCTTATCCCCTTCTGACCATTGGAAAATAGCTTAGTCCAAGGAAAGGAGAGAAGACAAATGAGAGGAATAGTGCCAGAGTCAACTGCTGCCAGGAAAAACACACTCTGATTCAGCTAATTTGTTCTGTTAATGGCAAAGGCTGTGATTCCTAATTAACTAATTTTAAGATGCTGTAGCTTAAAATAGCTACATCAGCTTGAAAGTTGAAGTCAGACGAAGACTGGGACCTTTAAGTAAGAGAACAGGGGCCTAAAGAGGTGGTAACGTCTGCTTAAGATCATCCTGCTACGTAAATACATGGCTGGCGTGGATATCCAAACAGGGTTTAGCCCCTTCAGAGAGGTTGAGTGGAGGGGAGAGAGGAGAGGACAACCCAGCTATTCTGGCAATGAAAAATGTTCCAAAAGTCAGATTTGTGTACACTCAACTTACTAATGGCAGAAGCATCCACACTGGCAAGTCTCTTTGGGATAGAGATGCTCCCCTAGCTCAGGTGGAATGAATTAAAACAGGCATGTCATTTGCAATATTTCCAGCTCGGTCACTAAAAGGCTCCACGCACACAAACCAGAACGGCTTAAGCAGCTGAGGGAAGCTGGGCCAAAAAATCACCACCACCTCTCTCGTCCCTCTCCCTTTACATTGGAATGGAAAAATAATACTTCTCTAAAAAAGGAGAGCACTCATAGCTTCTGCACAATTGTGAGCGCTTTGATTGTCTTTGAATAGGGTTAAAATAAAAGTACAGATGCTCTTAAAAGTCAAGATTATAACTTGCTAATGAAGCTGTGTCTTATCCTGAAGAAAACAACGCACAAACTCATGCTGAGTGGTAGAATTTCTTGCCTCTGAAAGTTCTGTTATTGCCTTTGTAATATTAAAGCCCAACAGGGGGTCGCCAAGACACCTTTTGTGCTGTCTTGTCACATTATGAGTTTCTAGTTTCAGATAAAAGGGGAGAATGGGCTCTTAAGAAAGCAAAGAACTTGAAAAAAAAAATCAAACTTTCTTCTCAGAAAGCTAAGGGCTGTTTTCCTGGAGATGATGGATAATGGCATTTCAACATTTTTAGTTTTTAACAGAGAAAATGGAGTCCAATCTCAGAGGGAAAAGAATATATGAATTAATAAAACAAGGTGAAGTTTCGATAAGAGCTCCCCTTAATTATTTTTTTCCCTCTTTCTTTTTCTTTTTTCTTTTTTTTCTTCCTTCTTTTTTTTTTTTTTTTTTTTTTTTTTTTTCCTTTTTTTTTTTTTTTTTTTTTTTTTTTTTCCTTTTTTTTTTTTTTTTTTTTTTTTTTTTTCCTTTTTTTTTTTTTTTTTTTTTTTTTTTTTCCTTTTTTTTTTTTTTTTTTTTTTTTTTTTTCCTTTTTTTTTTTTTTTTTTTTTTTTTTTTTCCTTTTTTTTTTTTTTTTTTTTTTTTTTTTTCCTTTTTTTTTTTTTTTTTTTTTTTTTTTTTGCTTTCTTTTTTTGAAATCTTAAACCCCATTTCTGGCATGCATTTGGTAGAATTCCTGTTCTGGCTTTTATTAAAAACAGACTTTATGTGGTCAGAATTCTTCATCTAAAGCTAAATGTTAATAGGCGAAGGGATCCCAACATTCGCTCTTGCTTTCTCTCAGGTGACCCCCCCCACACACACACACAGCCCCAGAGGGATTTCCCTCCAATGCACTGAACTGGCACTGAAACTTGAAGGTTCAGCACAAAACAACCAAGTCCTCTCTTATTTTGTACTCTCATTTCTGTTTTAAATTTGGGACTCTTTGCAAAACCAGATCGAATGAAGTCTGGTTCTAACCTGAGAGTATTCTAGAAATTTCGAATAATGCAACCATCATCTAGAAATTCCCCAAACCGCTCTGATTAAACCTGATGGCTCCCTTTTCTAACCTTGCCGCCCATGTGCTAGCCATTCAGTTAGGGCTACGGATACCCACTGCTGACTCCTCTGTGCCAGCTGGAGAGTACAGAGGGCACTTCCACCCTGCTCAACAAATCAGCTTAGCATCCACCAGTTCATTTTCCTGAAGGATATCAGCAAGCTGGCTTATCTGAGACCCAGAGGAAAAGCAGTCAAGCGAGCAGGTGAGACATGCACATGCACCCCAAGACCAGGCATCACCAAGCAGCTTAGGCCCCTTCTCACAGCTTGACAGATGAAACGGTGATTTTAAGGCTTCTGCGTGAGGTTCGCACCTTCCTGCTTCCAACTCCCCCAGTGACCTTCACAATTTTCTTGCACAATGGCAGATATGCTACCAGTCAATGGAAGTTTTCTAAAACACTAAGTATCATCTTGCTTGTAGCAGGGCTCAATGCTGAAATTTGTGGTTGGTAGATTTGTTGGTTGATTGTTTTAATATGGAAGGGAAAATTTTTGAATACTGCAGTGCAGTGGGTTTCAAGTGGAGAGAGATTTCACTCCCCTAAGGGACTGTGGTACTATTCATAGACAGTTTTTATGTTTTTTGTTTTTGCTTTTTAGGTTTCTGCCATGGGGCACATACACTTGCCAGAGACAGAGAGAGAGAGGGGAAGTGAGAATTCACCCTCTGGGGAGGATGGCTATGCCACAATTCCTTCTCCTCTATTCTCCTATCAAGATTTTGGGCATGTACACATGTGTGTCTGGCATGATTTTCAAACCACCAGGTACAAGACTCAAACCATGGTTGGCTACATGAGAATCCAGCACCTTAACTACCAAACCACCTGCTGGCCCCCAGAGACAGTTTTAATAGTCACAACCGGGGAAGTGCAACTGATATCTGCTGAGCAGAGGCCAGGGATGCTGCTCTGCTTCTTACACTGCATAGGACAGCCCTCCTCAACAAAGATGTCAGCAGTGATGAGGCTGAAAATCCTGTGTCACAAGTGGGAGCCTGGGCTCTCAGGTCAGATTGCTTGGAATTAAACCCAGCTTCAGTAGGCATGGGGGTAACTTGCTTAACCATGGTGCTTCAGTTGTAAAATGTGAATCAAATTGAGTTGTTGGAAAAGTCATGACTTTTTTTTTTTTTTTTTAAATGCAACAATGTGGCATGACTTTTCTGACAACCCAGTAGCTCATCTCATTGGATGGCTGTGAACATTAAACAAAAATCTACGTGCAAAGCACTTTGACAGTGCCTGGGATATTGAAAGCACAATAAATGTCCGCTCTTGCTATTATTATTATTAGTCTAAACTTAGCTCAGTTTCAATAGAATTATGTACCAAGCTCATTGAATTTAGAGGATCAAAAAGTAATATTGGGGAACCAGCAGTTAGCGTAATGGCTATGTCGCTGGACTCCCACGTAGTCGACTGCAGTTCGAATCCCGGACCCGGTGGCTTAAAACTCACGCCGGGTGCGTGTGCGTGCATGCCCAAGATCCCAAGAGGAGAATGGAGAAGAAGGGATTGCGGTGTGATCATCCCCCTTGCGGGGTGATTTCTCGCTTTCTCTCAAAAAAAAAAAAAGGAAAAAAGTAATATTGAAGTGCATATATCCTCTTAGATAAGGACTAAAATGTTAATAGTAGGAACAGCCACAGTCTTGACATTTTATCAAAACTCTTTCTAAACCAGGCTAACAACCTCGTTGAATCTTCCCTGTTTCTAAATGAGGAACTCCTGTCTCAGAGTTAAATGAGCTGGCCAGGACCTGTAGCAACCCAGGTCTTCTGATTCTACATCCCTGATCTTCCTGTTACACTACTCTTTGCTTACTAGTTTAAGACCCCTTTTCTTCATCACACCCAACAACCTGAAGATCAAAAACAATGTGAGCAATGTAGTCAGGAGTGGAGGTGACTCAGCCTTCACGGGTGGGTAGAATTTTCTTCTGCTTGCATGGTGATAAATGGTCAGGTTTTCCTTTATGGAGCACAGGAATAAATTAATGAACTAAACTGAATTTTCAAAATTTAACTTTATAGACTAATTTTCTTTCCTTTAAGTTTCTGACTTCAAGGGCAAAAAGTAAATCATCTTTAACAGTGATATCTTAAAAATCTCTGATTACATTCAGCATAATATATATTGGGCTGTTGGAAAAGTCGTGATGCATTTTTACATAGAGAAACAGAAAAATCTGTCATGTCTTCCTCGACAACGTAATATTTTGACTTTAAATGTATGAAGGTAAGAATATAGCTCCCATTTTATGTGTTTCACGTTCTGGTGTTATCAGCTATATTGTTTCATAATTAGGCCTGCAAGTCTGCTTATAATCATCATGACGTATCATCTAAGCGAAAAATGTCCTTTCATATGTATGGTTAGTGACTATGTATAGCAATCTCTGTGTCCATGTTAAAATTTCTTTCTTCTCTTTTTTTAAACACAATTGTAGATTAATCAGTTAGGTTCTACCTAGGAATATTGAGTACACGAATATTGAGTTCAGAGGGCAGATGGATAATATTCCCTAAGTCAGTGGTTTTCGAGAATTCCTTTGGTAATGGAGAAGGCAGGGCCCTAGCCCATGAAGCTCTCATGACCTGTGGATCACACAGCTTGCCACGGCTAAGGGGCTCTTTTGCTTCAAAGCTCTCACCCAGATTCTACCAACAGCTGCCCAAGATGTTAATCACTGGGACCCAATTTTTTTTTTTTTAGGTCCCATTTAGTTTGTGCCTGTTGATAAATGAGAGGCTTTAACAAGCACATATTGGTTTTTAAGTGATACAATAGGTTCAGCAATTTTCCCAAGGTCTAGAAGAATATAACTCCAAAAAATACCACTGTGCTAAGAGCTCTGAGTTTAGACCTCCAGTGTGAAAATTGGAAATGCGTATGATAACATCTTTGCCATCGTCTCTTTTAAATAAGTTTCATCTGTCATACTATGAGAAGGGAACCACAAGTATCCCACCAGTCACTGCCACATGTCTTACCTTGGAACACTGGGCGGGGCCCGGGTGGGCCGGGATGGGACTTGTGGAGGGGCTCCAAAGGTGTCAGTGCTATTGGGAAAAGGAGGTAACGGGCCTGGACGGAAAGGAACTGGGGGAGCCCCCGAGTGGGGGCCTGGAGAGGGAATAGCAGGAGCTGGTCCTCGGCCAGATGTGGGTCTGGTGAGGGGTGCGCTCAGTGTTGGCCTCCTTTGGGTTGTGGGGCTTGGAGGAGGTGACCTGAGAAAAAAGAAATCTTAGTTTGTCCACTCCTACTTTCTGTCTGAATTTATCTTTGAATAGTTTCATAACTTACTACTTTCTCAAAATTGTTTTTTGATTAACTCAGATACATGTTACTATAATCAAAATGGTGGAAAGTGTTATGTCTCCCCCACCCACCTACACCTTGCAGACAACCCATAGCAGTTTCCTGGGTGTCCTTTTAAACTCTATTTCACACGAGTGCAAGTGTATATTTTCTCTCTACATATAAATTGCTCTTCTGTACATCACAGAACACAACATCCTACAACTTTCTATTCTAAAACTTCATGGTAACTTGGTTATCTCTGCATTTCAGGACTTCTAGAACTATCTTATCATTTTATTTTTTTGTATAGGATACGTGTATTTGTCAGCGAGAGACAGAGAGAGGGACAGTGAGAAACCACCCCCAGGGGGGATGGGCACACCACAATTCCATCTCATCCATTCTCCTCTTGGGATTTCAGGCACATATGCACACATGCATGGCATGATTTTCAAACTACCAGGTCTACCAGGTCTACCAGGTCAAACGACATTTGGTCATGTAGAAATCCAGCACTTAACCACCTGCTGGCCCCAAACTGTCATTCTATGTAACAACTGTGTAACCTTCTACTCTAAGGATGTACTTTGCTTGATTTTGAAGGGAACTGCCATCATCAGACCCTCCTGCTACTGAACCTGAGCAGCCTTTTTCCTCTTCTTCCTTTCTTCATGCTGGTTTAGGAATGCACTCTTAGAAACCCACATGGGCCAGCGCAGTGGGCTTCATGTATCAGGGGCCAACTCCCCACCTGCGAGAGTGTTGTATCCAGGAGTCGTCCACCGGAGGCGGGGCAGGAGTGGAAACAGTGGCCGTGTTGATGTCGCCGATGATCACAAGGGCTTCTTTCAGAGCTTGGTACATCCGGAGCGTCTCATCCCTGCGCTGAGCCTGCTCAGCAGATTCCTCCATCAGAGTATTCTGGTCCTCTGAGGAATATAACTGTGCTAGGAGCTCTGAGTTTATGAACTCTTTAACCTGTCGGATCATGGCAGAAAAACAGAAGTGGGATAAATGAGCGTGCGGATGGGACAGACAGGGCTGCAGACCCCGTCCACCGGTTCACCCCAGAATGGGGGAAACGGTGCATCTGCACACTCCAACCGTCAGCGTCAGCCTCCCTGTCCCCAGCGCAGTGCCACCAGCAGTTTTCCCTTTGGTTCTGGCTGTCAACACTGGCGTAGACAAGTCTGAGAGAGGCCAAACTGCGCCGCCATCAGAGCCAGGCCTGTGGGCTGTGCAAGCATGCCACACTGTCATCTGGGTCTGCCTGGTCCATAGAAGCAGCAGCTACCATGAGGAAAGTAGCAGTATTTTCAACAGAAAACAGTGATGTAAGGAAACCAACATAAGACACACATTTTTTATTCACAGGTATTCCCAGTCCTTTCCCTAGGTTTTACCAAAATTCACTACAAAAATGAAGATTATGAGGTGTTTTTGTGTGTGTGTGTGTGTTTTGTTTTTTAGGTTTTTACTGAAGGGCATGTGTGTTTGCCAGAAGGGAGAGAGACAGAGAAAGACAATAAGAGGGAAAGTGAGAAGTCACCCCCCCTTGCTCCAGGAGGATGGCCATACAACAATCCCTTCTTCTTCATTCACTTCCTGGGATTTTGAGCCTATACACACGTGCCTCGAGTGATTTTCAAGCCACTAGGTCTGAGATTTGAACTGTGTATGGCCAAGTGTGAGTTCAGCATCTTTAACCACTGTGCCACCTGCTGGCTGTAAGACTCTGAGTTTTAATGTAGTCTAGAGTAGAATTAGCATCAACCAATGACTACTTATTGAACATAAACTTACATTACTGTGCAAGTTGATTTACCAAAAAAAAAAAAAAAAAAAAAGTGAAAGAGATACTCTATTTCCTAGAAGTTTGCAGTTGAAGTCAACTGAAGGTGGAGAGGACTGTTTCAGAGTTCAGAAATAGATAAAAACAAACTTGAGCATAAATGATGTCTGCATCAGAGGAAGAGAATGGAGAGGATGTGTCACTACGTGCTGCACAGCCCTTGGGGAGGGAGCACCAGCACCGAGTCTCACCAAATCTCAGACACCAGGGGTTTCACGATGCCGCTATTTTTATGTGGCATTAAGAAAGAAAGAGAAGAGAAAACCCATCAATTAAACTACGGCAGAATGGCAAGATGCCATTGAGTGTAAGATGCATCTTCATTTCACAAGGGCTAAATGTGGGGATAAGAAAAAATAAGTGTGAAAAATCAATGAAATGTGGTACATCCCAAGTGCCTTCACAAGTTATGGCTTAATTTTCTCCACATAATGATGAAATATGTATTATCAATCCTAGTTATACAGATGCAGAAACAAGTTTGGAGAGTTTAAGTAACTTGCTAAAAGTCACACAGCATTAAGACGAATCCAAAATTGGGACTGGCAAGTGGTGTGGTGGTTAAGGGCACTGGACTCCAACCAGGCTGTGCATGGTTCAAGTCCCAGACCTGGCAGCTTGCTTTCTCTCTCTCTATCTCATTCTGTCCCTCTCTGGTCAAATAAAAAAAAAAAAAGTTGAATCCAAAATCATCTCTAACTTGAAGTTCAGGACTCATTCCTTTCCCTCCTTGGGATCACTGTGATTGAATGCTTAGAAAAGACAATTAATGTTTTAGTATTATCATTTGAAAGTGTTGCAGTAAGTGCATCAGTTAACTTAAGCCTAGGAAATTAAACCAACTTGGGTTTTTTTTTTTTTTTTTTTGAGAGATTTTTGCTATAGGGCACGTGCGATTGCCAGACAGACAGAGAGAGACAAAGAGACAGAGAGACAGAAAGCGAGAAATCACCCCCCAGGGGGAATGGTCACGCCGCAATCCCTTCTCCTCCATTCTCTTCTCGGGATCTTGGGCACGCATGCCCATGCGCCCGGCATGAGTTTTAAGCCACCGGGTCCGGGACACGAACCATGGTCGACTACGTGGGAGTCCAGCGACATGGCCATTACGCTAACTGCTGGTTCCCCCAACTTGGGATTTTTAGCTTTTCTGTAACATTGACAAAGCTACATTTTTATCTAGACTCATTGGATAGCACTAAGAAAGGCCAAAAGCAAGTATATTTAATTGTTACCTATTCAAACAGAATACCTGTCAGACACTTGAAATTCCTAATTGTAGTAACTTTTTTTTTTTTGGAGAGGTTTTCGCTATAGGGTGCGTGCACTTGCCAGAAAGACAGAGAGAGGCAGAGAGACAGAAAGCGAGAAATCACCCCCCAGGGGGGATGGCCACGCCGCAATCCCTTCTCCTCCATTCTCCTCTCAGGATCTTGGGCATACACCCACATGCACCTAGTGTGAGTTTAAGCCACTGGGTCCAGGACTTGAACTGCTGTCGACTGCATGGGACTCCAGTGACCTAGCCATTACACCAACTGCTAGTCCTGATTGTAGTAACATTTTAAAAGAATTATTTTATTTAACTTTATTTATTTATTTATTTAAATTTAACTAGAGAGGGACGCGGGTGGGGGAATGAGTAAGCAAGCTGCCATGTCCAGGACTTGAACTGTGGTTAGTCATGTGGGAGTCCAGTGCCCTTAACCACCACACTACCTATTGGCCCCTATAGTTCCATTTTTAACTCAGAGGCGACAAGGGTCTAAGACATATAGCTTTATTATTTCTTCAAAGTATCAAAACATGTAAATAATTCCGCTAATCAAAAAATTCAGCTAAATCACATCTTTATTGTGGTGAAATAAAAGAGTGTCTCCTGCACATATTTTATAAACTAAGAATGATTCAAATGTGGAAGTGATCTGATATACAAGATGTATTCTGGGAACTGGCTGATGGAGAGGTTTATGTATGATTCAAGTGGAGGAAGGTAAATTTGACCAGGAAACTGGGAGCCGAGGTGAAGATCCTGGATACCAACGAAGTGTTTGGACATTATCTATTTGGCAATGGGGAGCCATGGAAGACTTTCAAGTAAGAATATCAGGGACCAGCGGTTAGCGTAATGGCTATGTCGCTGGATTCCCACGTAGTCGACCAAGGTGCGCATCCTGGACCCGGTGGCTCAAACTCATGCCGGGCGCGTGTGCGTGTGTGCCCAAGATCCCAAGAGGAGAATGGAGGAGAAGGGATTGCGGCATGGCCATGCCCCCCAGGGGGGGGGGTGATTTCTCATTTTCTGTCTCTCTCTCTCTGTCCGTCTGGTGAGCGCACATGTCCTATAGCAAAAACCTCTCAAAAAAAAAAAAAAGAATATGAAATAATAAGATAGAATTTTTAGGATAATTAGTTGAATACGAATTTGCCAAGGTGGTGCTGGAGACAAATCAGAAGGTTGTCATGGACGATTCATGAGATGATAAAGGGGGTTTAATTTAGCAAATTTGCAGTGGACTAGATAAGATGAGTATGTATAAACTACTTTATAAAGGAAAAATCAACAGGACTGGTGCTGTTTGGAAGTGAAGTGCAAGGAAGAAAGGGAGTGAGCTCAAGCAATGAGATTTGTGTGAGTGGGAGAATAGAGAATCAGACAAGAAAGTCAGATTCAGAGAAAAGGCAGTCAATTTGACTTTAGGAATACTTCACTCCTCCTCTTGAAGATTTATTCCCTTGCAGGTACCCATGGAGTCACAGACGTGCACACAAATCTTTCATTGTGGGGTGTGTGCAGGCACTCGGATAGATGGTGCAATTCACAACGCAAAACCAGACAGTTTTCCTGGCGTTGACCATCAGTTGGCTGAAGCTCCTTTGAAGCTTTACTTCTTTACATCTTACTGGAGTATCACTTAGAACCTATTAAACACACTTTAAAAGAAGATCTTTCCAAGAACAGATTTACTGCAGGTCTGAATTAAGAATCAACTGTCAAACAAAGCACAAAGTAAAATAATGTGGGCCTGTTTCAGTGTTTGGATCATAGATCTTCCTTGAATCTTCCACATCAAAATGTTACACTAAAACTTGCCTACTATCCAAAAGCTTTGGCAATATTCTGAAATGATGTAAGTATTAATAACATGAGAAAAGACAGCAGTGTGGCAGAGCAAGGTAAGAACTTAGGCCTAAGAATAATCAGACAGCTCTGGATTTAGGTCCTGGCTCTAACGCTTAACTGTTCTTGGGCAAATAACTTAACCTCTGTGTCTCAGGTGCCTCATCTCTTAAATAAGGATAAGGTTAGTAGCTACCTCAGAGTTGTTCTAAAGATTAAGCAGAAGAACAAATATAAATTGCCTAGCATAATGTTCAGCCTGCAGCTAGGAATCAGTAAACAAATGCTGATTTATTGCATTTAGGCTACATGGGCACGAGCTACATAGAAGCATGGGAACAATAGAAAACCACTGTAATCTGCAGGTATCAAGTAACACAAATAACAAGAGCACAGGATGACGATTTACTTTGCAATTAAATCGAATTTTAGGAACTCCCCTGCTAGCTTTGTGCTACTTCAAGAGGAGTTTGGAACAAAGGTATGGGGGGGGACTTTGGGGGGAAGTTCCCAGAAACTTTAGGGACTTTCTGAGCAGTCTGTATGTCAGCGGCACAAATGTTTAAATCGAGAATTTTGCACAATTAGAGGCCCCAAGTGAATCCCTTTTTGGATGATAGCATTTGGAAATGACAGAACCTAACGCAGAAATGATACTTGGATATGAGATTTAAAATAATACTTCTGCTTTTAATTATCACACCTTATAACCTATACATTTTTGTGTGGTTCGCAAAAATTCTCACACACACAACCTCATTCCAGCTCCAACTCTCCAGGCTAGATAAACAGGCAATACCACACCATGTCGCTCTGCTCAGTGCAAAGGAATGCGAGGTCATTAAAAATGTCCCACATGCTTCCCTCTCCCTTCTTACTTTAACCCTTTTGGAGTAACCTGTAAGATGTTTGGATCTTAAACCTTCTTTGTTATGACTAAGACCACTTTCAAGCCTTCACAAATAGAAGAGGCTTTTCTAGGGTTTCCATACAGTTTTGTTGCCA